GGGATCACAACAATAAACAGGACCACAACCGTCGGGGACACACATTCTTGACGTGATTTTGGACTTGCGTGTGTTGCGGTGCAATACTTTTGTTCTGCCGGGATGGACCGCCCCCTAAAAACGGTCGCCGAGGTTCTCCCTCGAGGCCGTCAACAACGGCCACCGGCTCTACCCCCAGGCGGAATTCAAGAAGGAGAATGAGAACACGGTCCACGTCGGGTCCTCACCTGACTCCCGACTCCCGGGCGCCCAACTACGGTTTGGCAAGCGTTATGTTCTCTTAACTGCGAATTTGATGCACATGCATGATCAGGTGGAGGGGAGGAGGCAACACCAGAACCTTCATCCAAACCCACCCCCTACGACTGACTGTGGGAAATCTACAAGACAGGCAGGGGAGGGATATCTTGGGCAGAACTCAATAGCAATTGTGTTTGTGCTTGTGCTGTTGCTATTTCATGCACGGGTATGCAGACATGACTGGGTGTTAACAACGCTACTCTGGGCTTGCATGGTCCAATGCTTGATTCCTGGGGTGGGGGCAACAAGTAGCTCAGTGGGAGAGCCACTTCAATACTGTGAATTCGGAGCTGTCGATGGGGTGCGGTCGACAACTCCTGGGAACCATATCTTGATGTGTGCACTCGAATGGGATGCTGCTCCGTGTCCCAACGACTACATTTGGGTAGCTATTTCAATTATGATGGTGATTTTGTGCGTGCGGGGGGGCCTTGGGGAGATAAGAGCCCGTTCAACGCCACACCAATCCAAGACCGACTCTTGCTTCCAGGTCTGGGTCCTCAATACGGCAACGGGGTACCGGAGGGAGGCTAAGAAGATTGACAGGTGCCGGATACGGTAGCGGAAAGTGCGGAAGCGGTCGAGGAAATGGGTCCTCCCGGTCCGTGCGGCATGCCGTCGGTCCCTGTCCAGAGTTTCACGCTACACGGCTGGAGTGTGTAGCCATAGTAGAATTACTACTTACATGCTGTACTACGAACCATGGTATGCTATGGTATACTGTATCAAATTCCCGATCTTCGGAGCGATTACACATCCTACGACCGGGGTACGCTGGGCCACCCTTCTGGTCACCAGCCTGTACAGCACTTCGAGTTTCACCTACTTGCTATTGGCACTGTCTATAATACTTTGGGGGTCCCTGTGGGTCAAAATATCTTCTCAGGACCGCCCCTGCGACCAGAACTACGACTTCGAAGTAACAACTCCGCCATCAGGTGTCCAGGACTACGACTTCGAAATAAAAACTCTGCCACCAAGTGCCGCCTCCGAGGATGCCATCTCAAATGGCGGAGTTCCTGCCCATGGAGTCGGAAAACACCCCCGTCGCCGACCAGGACAACTACGACGATTGAGGCAGCAACTCCGTCCGAGGTTCCGACACCAGCTCCAGCAGGAGTACGGTGAGGGCGAGATCGACTACAGCGGTGTTCGAGACGATGGCAGTCCTACCACGCTGTACGAGCAGCACGGCAAGATAGCACGAGCAGCTCCACGACTCAGCATGACTAGCACAACGACGCGACACCATAAGCACCAGCAACACCACCAGCACCAGCAGCAGCACACGACGACGACGACGCAGCATCGTAGCACACGACGTCGACACCAGCAGCACCTGCAGCACCAGCAACACCAGCAGCACCAGCATCAGCAGCACCAGCAACACCAGCAGCAACAGCAGCAACAGCGACAACATTCATACGACGACGCAGCACGAGCATCCATACGACGACGCGCTACGAGCATCCTGGAGACGCAGCACGTCAGCGGACCGACACCAGCACAACCACTCATCATTGCGACTCCCGATGGTTCTGGGAGGATTTGGGATGACGGTTTGATGCATGTCGACGCGGACGGGGACGTTACTCATGAGGCCTGGGAGGAGGATCGGGACGGCAATGTGATTCGATTGTATCCTGGTCTTGACTCAGCGGTATCAATACATTGTGCTTCAAATCTTGGCGTTGCCGCGATGTTTCTTGGAACCGCTGCGATGAATGGGCTACCGTCTTCCCAATGAGGAGGGGCATCCTACTCTCTGCATGACGGACGTCTCGACCTACGTGTCGGCGGCGGGGGTCAAGGGGGCAGTCGGACCACCAAAAGACAGCGCAAGGCAGAAACAGATCGCGTCCATCGTCAGCGCAATCTTGGGCAGCGTGAGACCACCCACTAAGAAAAAGAGGAAGAAGAAGATCCACGGATCAGCAGCACAAGCAGCAGCACCGACGACTGCACCAGCACCAGCATCTACCACTGCAAGTAGCCTTTTGTCCATCCTGCAGCAAGCGGTGGCCGAAGCACCCAAGAACACCAGCGACGAAGTAGTCCTGAACCAGCTCGAGGAGCTCCTCGCCGCCAGGAAAACCAACCAAGCTACGACTACACCACCGCGCAGAGGGCGATGGAGAAATCAGGCGGCGAATCAGAGCCCCACCACTGATCCTAACCAGCTGGTTCCCACCCGGAGGTGGAAAGTGGACGAACGACGATTCCCTGGAAAACAGTTCTCAGGGGCTACGCAGGTCCTGGCCGCCCTCCGAGATGGCCAGGATCGAGACGGTGATGCTGTTGTGCTGAACGCGGCCCAGAAACAGGAGGCAGTGGAGCTTGCCCAAGCGCACGGAGTTCGAAAGAACATGACTGTGATTGTGTCCGGCACACCTACCAACGACCACACGGCGGCATCCAAAGACGGTGACACATCCCAATGGGTCGCGGTTGTCAAGGGGGGCCGGCCGAGCATGAAGAAGCTGGAATGCACTAACCTCCAGGGAGCCAAGGCCGATGCTCCGAAAAAACGAGTTGGAAGGGCCTGAACTACCAGACGTCCGTGCTACTACTACGGTGCGGGTGACGATGGTCAAGGAGTTCATGACGGACGCGCAGTGGAAGGCGGCGCGCCAGAGGCCAGGAGCCGTGGCCACTGGCGATCTCGACGCCATCAGCATGGCGCATCCTCCACATCCCTCGGACTTGGACGGCGCACGAGCTAAAATCTTGGCTACGAGCAGCTGGTTGGAACGATGTGGAGGTAGAGTCGCCGCCACAGACCAGGAATGGGTCGCGGGTCGTCCGTGCACAGCCACGCCGCCCTAACGGGGATTTGACAATCGACGCGTGGGCTATCAAGCTCAAGGGACAAGACCAGTCCATTCAGATCCAACGCTTTGCGCGCGGCTCAGGAGGCCAAACGACGAAGCCTACAGCGTCCAAGCGGTGGCGGTGGGGTGCCGACCCGCCTGCGCCACCCCCCGCAGCCGACGACATGGCCGTCCCAAGGGTTCACGACATGTACGTTGACTTAGACGCCGACTACATTGCCGACAAGCAGCAGAGACAGAAGCGGTACGACCAGAAAGACATGGATCTCGACGGGCTTGCTGAGGAGGCCCGGAAAACCGAGCGGGCCAAGAGGGCAGCCGCCAAGGAGGCGGAGGACAGTGCAGCTCGGGACAAGATCAAGAAAGTGCGGCCCCAGCCACCGGCTTCTGCGCCGGCAGGGCCTAATGGGGCGTGTGCGGCCCCTGGGGTCGGACCTGGAAACGCTGCGCCTACTGTTAAGCTGTTAAGCCAGCGGCTGCGCCTGCAGGGAAGCCGCCGCCCAAGCGGAAGAACCCCTTCGAGGCCATCGACCCGGGCTCCAACGGAAGTGATTGCGGTTATAGGGCGTTGGCTGCCGGCTGGGCGTTGCTCGGAGGCGTTGCCAAGGCCAACCGGGAGACAACACTGCAACCAGCCAAGCTCGAGAGGATGGCGAAGACCTTGCGGGCGCAACTGGCCCTGCGCATCGACAGCCACAGGGAGTACTTCGAAGATTTTTGGACGCACGTGCCCATGCGGCCTGACAGAGAAGACGGAGACATCCCGATCACGTGGGAAGAATATGTAAAAGCATGCAAGAGACCGAAGCGATGGATTGACGGGCTGTCATACCAGGCCGCATGCGACCACTTCAACCGACACATCTACACTTACACAAGGGTGGGTAATAAGCTGAAGGACGCGAACCGGATCGACAAGGTGATTTGGTTCCCAACGGGCCCAGACGCTCAACGAGCGGCGTTGCTGCAACCTGCCCTCCATGTGGGCCTCTGGAGGGATCATTGCTACATTTTGTTACCAGACGACGGCGAGAGGAACAAGGAGACCAAAAGGCCGAAGCAGCAGATCGAGGAGCGCATCCAAAAAGCCTGCGGACACGGTGGCTCGGCCAGGAAGGCTGATGCTGAATCCGACTCAGTAAACTCCTGGATGGCGAATTTGACCCGGACACGGCCCTCGAGAAAGCGAAAGCAACCCGACACGCCTGATTCGTGGCTTGGTGAGCTGGGGCCTACGATGACCCCACGCACCACGCGACGACCAACACCTGCAGCACCGCGGAGCACACGGAGTGCAACCACGGCCACGCCCAAACCTACGCCGAATCGGCGCGACATCCCGACGGGGTCAGCGACGACCATGGAGACGCCGAAGGTACGGACTAGCAGCGCCAACAGCAGCACCAGAAAACCACAACGTGCACTCCCATCCAAAACAAGCATCACGTGCACCGACCATGCTACACGGCTGACGTGGACATGTGGGCTGTGAGGCGACACGATCGCAGCTCCTGTCAACAGCGTTGCCAATGCCGTTGAGTGGTCGTGGAAGGGCAACGGGAAGAAGCAGATCAAGAAGACACGGAAGGGTCATCCAAATTACCATATTACTCATGAGCGAGCGAAGCACCTACGGAAATGGCATCAAGGAGAAAATTGGAAGGACTCAGGCAACTATCAACCCAGCGTGGAGGTACCTGCTCTATCTCACGACATACCTGACGACAAGATTGGCTGGACATGTCATGTATGCTACATCCGACAATCTGTGTCACGAAATACCATTACGTACATACAAGAACATACGACGAAAACACCGATTGCAAGAGCCCCCCGAGTACGACGACCAACAGTGGCGGTGCATGGTACGGCGTTTTAAGATGCTGAAAAATCTCCCGACGGCATGCTGGATCCACGACGCCAGCGGGACAAGCGGGCTAGGAGCCTAGTCGTCTTACCGCCGTTGCCAGCACACCAGGCCCGGCCTCGCGAGGAGACGCTCCGCCGGAGGAGGGCAGCGAGAGCAGCTGGCCGCTGCTGAGGCGGAAACGACTGCACCGACCATTCCCACGCCCTCTCCTCCTCCTCCTCCCCCTCCTCCTCCTCCTCCCCCTCCTCCTCCTCCTCCTCCTCCTCCTTCTTCCCCCTCCTTTCCTCCTGTGGGGTACCTATCGCCATCCAGAGTCGAAAGGGGTAGCGCGAACACGATTCCAGTTACGATGGGAACACTCAAGATTGCCTCGTGGTCACAACACGGTAAAGATCTCCTTGGCGCGGCCGAAGAATTGGGCTTGGAGTTGATTGCAGTGCAAGAACACGGGTGTCGACGTGCAGATCTGGGCCGGGTGAGTAGGGGCTTGCCGCAGAGCACGGTTACGTATGGACAACAGGGACCTCTTGCGACGACCATGTGGTGGGGACCGGGAGGAAGGAACGAACACGGGACGAATGTGGAGGCATCTGCGTGCTAACGACGGGCCGCGTACGGGTCACCCAGGTTGCTTGGGAACGGCGGACTGGGACCAGCGGCGTCCAGGCTGGAGGTGAGGGTGCAATTGTGCACCTTCACACCGCTCATCGCACGGCATTGTTGGCGGCAGACGACGACGATGCACGGAATGGTTTGCTACAGTGGGTGGCTGAGCAACACGCTGCGATGGGAGGGCGGATCCCTCTGCTTATCGCAGGGGATTGCAAAACCACACCCAAAAATCCCATCATCACTGAGACTGCGCGGCTTTTAGGGCTCCGGGTGCAAGGCCCAAGCGAGTACACGAGATGGGGCTCCAACAGGGAAATCGATTACTTCATGGTTACGACAGCTATGACAACGTCAAGGGCTGTTGCGAACACCCATACGCTTTCCGACCACAAGATGGTAACAATGGGTGTGCAGTTCGACGCTCCACACCCTACTGCTGGATGCTCCTGGTTGCGGGCAGCACGCTACGGCAAGCGGAAACCCGACCAAGACGAAGCACGAAGCGACGCCCAAGACGGCACAACCACGACTACGACGCAAACCGAGAGCAGACCAGCGACGCAGCACGAGCGACAACAACCGCACGACGCAGCAGCAGCGGCACGACGCAGCAGCACGACGCAGCAACAGCAGCACGACGCAGCAGCATCAGCACGACCCAGCAGCATGACGCAGACCACACCAGCGGCACGACGCAGCAGCAAGACGCAGCAACAGCTGCACGACGCAGCAGCATCAGCACGACGCAGCAGCATGACGCAGACCACACCAGCGGCACGACGCAGCAACAGAACCAGCCAGCACGCAACAAATCGGAACCACATGTCGACGCAGCACGACCGCTCGAGTGCCCAAGCGGCCCACGACCTCCGAGCGACCCACGAACGAGCAACGACCAATGGGGACACCGTGGAGGGTTTGGCTGCAAATTGGCGCGCCCTGCCCGCCTACGACATCCACGGGGGCACCATCGACGAATGGTGGACAGACTGGAGTGCGCGCGAGCACAGGCAGTGCTACAATCCCAGGCGACGGTAGTCTTGACCCAGGGTGCAATCCCAAAATCCAAACTCTGTTTCGCAACGTGGCAAAGGAGAGAACAAGACGACGACGCGTGGACAAAACACACGCGGCAGCTACGCAGACTAATCCAACGGCTCCGGACCAAGCCGGCAAGGTGAGGGAGGCGAGCGGCCAGGGACCCAGCGAAGTGGGCGAGGAAAAATCACAGGCTGTGGCGCTCTGTGATGGTGGCGACACGCCGGACTCGGAGCCAGCAGCAACGGAGCAGGCGGAAAAGGCGCTCGCTACGGCCATCAGGGGGTGCAAGAACGAACGCGTCAAATGCTGGAGAAAATGTTTACAGGCCGACGGGCTTGGGAAGACCACGGCGGCCTGGATCCGCAACGCGGTCAGCACGTACCACAACGTAGCTGTGCAGGACGACACCAAGCACGACCACGACGAAAACGACACCACGCCCACCAACTACTTTGCACAAGACGCAGTGGAGCGCATCCGCGACTACGACGAGAAGCGTTTCACGGCTTGTGGACAAGGCAACGACACGGACAGTTACTTCTACCACTACGACAACTACATCGAGGAGGCACGACAAAAAGTCCAACACGAGCAAGAGCAGCGCGACCACTGGGCACGACACGGCAACCCTTGGCAGCTTCGACCACTGGGCACCGCCGGCGGCGCCGCAGTTCCGCCGCATGTTACACGGGGGCACGGCAGCAGGACCAGACCTATGGGCTCCCTCGGAGCTTATGCTCCTCCCAGAAGAGGCACTGGAGGAGCTGGTGGACCTCTGCGTCTACGCCGAGAAGCACGGATGGCCTAGGTGGCGCCAGGCCCACCTACCGAAAGACCCAGACACTGCGCTCCCGAGCCTGACACGACTACGCCCAATCGCAATCGCGAGCGCTGTGGCCCGCGCCTGGCACAGGTGGAAGGCAGACCAAATGGCCTTCTACCTCAGCCCCGCCTTCCTGCCCACGCAGGGAGGCGGACTCAAAGGGAGAACCCTCAAGTCCCTCATTGAGCCTTGCCTTTCGCTCATTGAGGAGACTATCGCAGCAGACCGCTACGGCGACAGGGACGGCGACCCTGGTGACCTCACGGGGGAAGGGCGACGTTTGCTGCGAGAGAGACAAACCGAGCATCACGTCAAATCGTGGGACTACGCTTCTGCTTTCGACCGGGTTTCTCCGCGGATCATGGGCGAGATTTGAGAGCGACTTGGAGTGCCGACCAAGATCGCCGACACCATCGTGCAAATCTGGACGCGACAAGAGCGGTGGATTGAGATGGGGCAGCTTCTCTCACCGCGCACGATCAGCGTCCAGCGCAGTCTACCTCAGGAGGACCCTGCCGCAATGGTCGGGATGGCCACCATGCTCATGGGGCCTCTACGACGCCAAGCTGCACTGCACACGCGAGCAACCTTCTGCACATTCGCGGACGACCGCACGGCGGCCACGACCACCGAGGACGAACTTCGGAGCATCAAGGAGGAATGGGACGCGCTGGAGTCCGTCACCACGCTGCGCACCGACATCAACAAAACCAGGCTTTCACAATCCTTCCGCACCAGTGCGACAACCACCACTTACCGGGCAAAAGGATGGAATGTCCTGGTATCGACTTCACCATGCAGAGGGCCACGCTTACAAGCCGGGAGCGAGGCAAAATCGAGGAGGTGCTTGCGCGCATGAGACGGATTGCGTGTCTACCCCTGAGCATGCGGCTGCGCACGACTGCGGTGGCCACCATTGCGCTGCCGGTGTCGAGCTGGGCACTCATTGTCACGCCGCTGACAAAGACTGCTATCCAAGACCACCTACAACGAACACGGAAGGCCGTGACAATACGGAAATGGCCACGAACAGCTCCCGAACTTTTACGACTGGTCGTGATGGGGTACAGTACTGATTTGCGCTACCATCTGTGCCGACGAGCAGTACAACTTCTGGCTTGCAGAATACGACGGAAGGGACCAGGAGCACTTGCTTTCTGGGACAGAAGCACTATCAATACCGACACCAAGGGGCCACTCAACGCCTATCGTGCCCACCTGTCCTCCTTGGGAGCAAGGAGGTGCGACGACGACGGCTTCTGGAGAGGCCCACGAGGGAAGGCGCGCCTCACCGACAGAGCAGACCGACATTTACACGAGCTTCGGCTGATACCCCGATCCCATTAATGGGCCATCCTCCAGGGACGGAGCCGACGGGAGAGCCCCATGGCAGCCGGAATGCCCTTCCCGGCTGCCGCGTCCGCGCGGAGGAACAACCCGACCCTCGCCGCCCACATCGCCGCAGTGCTGTGCGGCTGTGTGGTCTCCTACGCACTGCTGGAGTCCAACCAGGGAGGTCTCGACCACGTGCGACCACTGCGGGGAACAGCACGTTCCGACGCTCGACCACATGTACTGGGTATGCACAGCCAACGCCGACCTGCGGCCAGGCATCACGACACCGACGGCGGAACTCACGCGACGGCTGGGCTGGCCGACGGAGGACGTCACTTGCAAAACAACCACAACATGGATCGCCATGGTGCTGGCTATGGCACGTATCCGGGAGCGTGCATTGCAGCACTGGCACCAACGACCACAGGACGACCACCGACACACCTACCAACGACCACGACCTACATTATAATGTTTTCACAAAAGACGCATCATATTGGCTCAATTGGTACTCGTGTGGTGTCTGGACAGCTCAGTTCTCCTTTGGGCTGCTATGTGTACTCAGCTTGTACTATTAGTACATCATGATGGTTATGAATGTTATACTACATGTATGTGCGTGTGTTAGGCAATCTCCTGGTTATATTCGTTTTACGTGTAGGTGTGTTGGGCAATTTTGCGGTGTGGGGTTGTTGTGCAGTTCGGTGCAATGACGGGCCGGGTACACCATATGACGCATCTGCATGTGATGCTATGCCCTGACGCCCTGACGTTACGTGTGGGGCCGGGAGGGACCGCTCCTGAACAACGGTCGCCGCAGCTCTTCGAGTTGCGTGGTGTCCTCACATGCCTACGGATTGGGGACACAGCTTGGTTCTACCCTGCTCTTCCTCCCTCTCCAGCACGGAGCGAGGACACTTGGGTACTGATCGTCCATCGCTGCCGCAGCGGCGCGTTGTCTGCGCGCGCCGCAGCAGAGGCCTCTTTCGAGAGGCCCAGACAGACGCAGGAGGCCGCCCTGGAGCGCGGCTGGCAAGGCCAGCTCTCGCCATCGGCAGGGCGGGCGCTGATGTTCAAAAACGCAACTTGTTCGTGTTCCATCGCAGGAGCGGCCGCGGCGCGGGAGTCGAGGGCGGGATTCCCAGGCCCGCCGTCCTGAGAAGTCATCGGGGCCCAGCGGCGAGCGCGCCAACTGCACAAGCAGGCCCGAAAGCAGCTGACTAGCACGCAGACCCTCGGATTACGAGACAGAACAAGAATATATTCAGCTGCTCCTCTCCGACCCGTCCCTTCGAGATCCTTGGCGCCCTCATCTTCAGAATTTCTCTCTTTTTCCCCCCTCTCGCCTGCTGCTGCCGGCTCGGCTCGAGCCGGTTTGAGACAACTTGGCCGCTGGAGCGGTGGTCCGGGAGAAAGGGCGCCCTACCTCGATCCCTGCCAGGATCCGCCGCTGTCCCCGATCCCGCTGCGGGCCGGGAGGTAGGCCGCCGGAGGCTACCCGGTTCCACATAAGGGGTCATCATGAGGATGGAGGATGCCGCTCCGAACGCCCCAACATCATACGACTAGAAAACCGACGTTGTGTCTCATGGCGACTTGTTTAGACAAATGGCATGAGCACCGCGGAAATGTGAATGGCCTCATCATTTCAAATCACCAAACAAAACAAAGTTGATCAACGATCAACGATCGCGTATTGACGCGCGTGGGGACGCGCAAGGTCAGCAGCTGATCATGGTCAAGTAGCTCATAGGCTCGCTACCGTGGTCGCTGGGTCCGTGACCAAGTCCTCGTCACGGCATTATAAATGTGTCAACTGAGCGTACTCACGGATATTGACGCGCGTGGGGACGCGCAAGGTCAGCAGCTGACCATGATAAAGTAGCTCATAGCCTCGCTACCGTGGTCGCTCGGTCCGCGACCAGGTCCTCGTCACGGCACGGCGATCATCTCACCTCGGGCGAAGCTGCATGAGCGGCCACGCGACGGCGGGGGAGCGGTCGCGGGCGCTCGGGGCCTCAGCGCTGGCCCGCGCACCCTGCGGCGCAGCGCCCGGGAGATGGCGCCCGCCCAGCACGCGGCACCCTCGGCAGCGCAGCCCTCGGCGGCGCCCTCGCCGCCGCCCTCGGCATCTTCCGGCGCGGGCACCGCGGCCGCTGCCGTGCCGGGGAAGCTTTCCTCGAAGAACGCGCTGCGCTGCCCGACGCCCGTCCCCCAGGGCGTGCACCTCGTCCGCTGGCCGAGCGCGGCCTGCTGCTCCCAGTACGCCTCGGACCGGAGGCGCCGGAGGGGGGCCTCCTTCTGCGCGGCCATCGCGGGCCACCTCCTGGAGGGGTACATGACTGGCTCGAGGAGCACCTGCTCGAGGAGCACCGGCTCGTCGCCGCCCTTCTGCGGCGCGGTGGTGTCGTGGCCGTGGTCGTCATCGCACCGATCGCAGGTCAGCAGCTCCGACGACGGGCACCGCGTGGGGAACGAGCTTTCTCCGGGGGAGCTGGGGCGCGCCGTCTTGCCCTTGATCGGGTCGGCGAAGGCAGCATCGCCATCTTGAAACATCGCCATGAGCACGGGCATATGCTGTAAGAGTGGTGGCCAGCTCGCAAGCACGCGTCGCGCACTGGTTGGCCCTTGTGCCTTGACCAGAATGGCTTGAGCCAAAATGACTTGAGCCAAAATGGCTACGGATGGGAGCTATGGTGTTCTTGAGCGTCTCTTGGGCCTCGTCGGGGTCTTCTGGGGGCCCTTTTGGAGCCCTTTGGGAGCCCTTTGGGGGCAATGTGGGGCCGTATTGTGGCCCTTTTGGGCCGTCTGGGGGCGTCTTGGAGGCCTGTGGCCGTCTTGGGGCTCTCTTGGGGGCCTCTTGGGGCCCTCGTGGGAGCCTCGTTGGGCCTTCTTGGGCCTCCCTCGGCGCCGTCTTGGGGCCCTCCTGGGCCGTCTTGGATATGTTTTTTGCCGTTTGGGGTCCCTCTGGGGCTGTTTGGGGGCCCCCTTGGACCGTTTTCGGCTCCTTTGGGGAGCCTCTGGGACCGTCTGGGGATGAACTTTGGGGCCTCGTGGGCCGTGTTGGGCCCTTCTATGCCCGAAAAGGCGAGAACCCAGAAAACCTTCCAAAGCCATTGGGAAAGACATGTTTTTGGGCTCCTGAGGCCCTCTCGAGGGCCCTCTGGAAAGCCTCTGAAGCCGTCTTGAGGCTCTCTGAGACCGTCTGGAGGTCATCTGAGGCTCTCTTGGGGCCGTCTTTGGGTAGTGTTGGTGCCCTCTTGGGCCGTCTTGGCGCCCTTGAGCCGCTTCACTCGAACAAATTCGAGGACACGGGCCCTGGAAGGCGCCCGCGAGCCGCTTCACTCGATCAAATACAAGGGAAACGGCACCCGCAGATGCCACCCATGCGTTCGCGCCCCGCCCCTCCCCTGAACCCCTCCCTAGAGGGCTTCGCCCCACACTAGCACGTCATCACTCGTGCCTCGCTCTTTCGGTTACCTGGGCCGGCACGGAAACGGAAAGACTCTTTGCCTTTTTTCTCTTTAAGAGAGCCTCAGGAACTTGCCCAAGATGGCTCATGGCACTCTTCGCTCTAGCCTTGGTGTGAAGAGCTTGTTGCGTCGCCGCTCTCCGTTGGGAGCCCGGATGTTCAGAGACTTTGACATACGTTGCCGCTCGCTCTTGGGAGCCTTGGTTTGACGAGCTTTTTACGTCACCGCGCTCTGGGGAGCCTTGGTGTCAAGAGCTTGTTACGTCACCGCTCGCTCATGGGAACCATGGTGTTCTTGAGCGTCTCTTGGGCCTCGTCGGAATGTTCTGGGGGCCCTTTTGGGGCTTCCGGGTGCCCTTTAAGGGCAAATTTGGGCCGTATTGGGGCCCTTTTGGGCCGTCCGGGGGCGTCTTGGAGGCCTGTGGCCGTCTTGGGGCTCTCTTGGGGGCCTCTTGGGGTCCTCGTGGGAGCCTCGTTGGGCCTTCTTGGGCCTCCCTCGGCGCCGTCTTGGGGCCCTCCTGGGCCGTCTTGGACCTGTTTTTTGCCGTGTTGGGTCTCTCTGGGGCTGTTTGGGGGCACCTTGGATCGTTTTCGGCCCTTTTGGGGAGCCTCTGGGACCGTCTGGGGACGAACTTTGGGGCGCCGTGTTGGGCCCTTCTATGCCCGAAAAGGCGAGAACCCGAAAAACCTTCAAAAACTATTTGGAAGTCAACGTTTTTGGGCTCCTGAGGCCCTCTCGAGGGCCTCTGGAGCCGTCTCGAGGCTCTCTGGGACCGTCTGGCGGCCATCGGAGGCTCTCTTGTGGCTGTCTTTGGGTCGTGTTGGTGCCCTCTTGGGCCGTCTTGGGGCAAATTTGGGCCGCTTCACTCGACCAAATACACGGAAACGGGCCATGGAAAACGCCCGCGAGCCACTTCATTCGGAAAAATGATAAGGAAACGGCCCCGGCGGCCATTAACGCCATTGCGCGCGGCCCTCGCCCCTCCCCTGGACCTCTCCCTAGAGGGCTTCGCCCCACTAGAACGTCATCACTCGTATCTTGCTCTTTCCGTTACCTGGACAGGCACGGGGACGGAAACAGCGCTTCATGAACTTCTTGCCCGAGATGGCTCCTGACACCCTTCGCTCTGGGGAGCCTTGGCGTTAAAAGCTTGTTGCATCACGGTTCTCTGTTGGGAGCCCTAATGTTCAGAGACTTTCACGTTGCCGCTCCTCGCTCTTGGGAGCCTTGCTGTTCAGAGCTCTTCGCGTCACCGCGCTCTGGGGAGCCTTGGTGTTCAGAGCTTGGTACGACACCGCTCGCTGCGGGGAGCCATGGTGTTCTTGAGCATCTCTGGAGCTTCTTGGCGGTCGTTTGGTGGTCTTGTTGGGCCGTTTTGGTACTCTTGAGCCGTCTTGGGGCCAGCCCAGTCCTCACACCCAAGCAGCCCAGTCCCCACACCGCCTCTTCGGGCCCTCTTGGGGGCCTCTTGGGGCCATCTTGGTGCTCTCGTGGGGCCGTCTTGGGGCCCTCTTGGGCCGTTGTGGGGCCCTCTGTGACCGTCTGGGGGGCCCTCTTGGACCGTTTTCGGGCCCTGTGAAGCCTCAGGGGCCGTCTGGGGACAATATTTGGGACCTCTTAGGCCGTCTGAAGCCCTTCTGGGCCCCAGAAGGCGAGAACCCCAAAAACCTTTGAAAAAGCAACAGGGAAAACAGTGCGTTTGCCTCCTGAGGCCGTCTCGGTGGCCCTCTTGAGGGACGTTTGGGCCGTCTTAGGGCCAACCCAGTCCTCACACCCAAGCAGCCCAGTCCCCACACCGCCTCTTCGGCCCCCATACGGAGCCTCTTGGGAGGTGGCTCTCTTGGCGCCCTGGGCTGTGATGGGGTTCCTTTTGGCCGTCCGGAGGCCCTCTTAGATAGGTTTCGGCCCCTCTGGGGGGCCTCCGGAGCGGTCCTGGGACGATATTTGGGGCCTCGGAGCCTCCTGAGACCCTCTCGAAGGCCTTCTGGAGGGCCTCTTCTGGAGCCGTCTCGATGCTCTCTGGGACCGTATGGAGGCCATATGAGGCTCTCTTGGGGACGTCTTATGAGCCGTTTTGAGACCCTACTGGGCCGTCTTGGGGCCCTGAGCCGCTTCACTCCAAAAAATGTCAGGAAACGGGCCATGGCAGGCGCCCGCGAGCCGCTTCACTCGAAAAAATCAGCCGACCCTGTCGGCGTGTGGAAGACGTATCCTGGTTTCGTCATCTTTCGTCGTCGTCGTCGTCGTCGCCCACACTGCCCACGAGATCGCCACGTCGGCTCCAAGAGGGGTGGTCGGCTCCCCTCGGGGGAGGGGAGCTGCCCACGACACCGCCACGTCGGCCCCAAGGCCCAAGAGGGGGAAGGGTCGGCTCCCACCGGGCGAAAGGAGCGGCCGCGACCCGGGGGGGGAAGCCAATCTGCTACCCCTGAGCGAGGGGAGCGGCCGCGACACGGGGGGGAAGCCAATCTGAGTAACGTCGTAGTTTACTCGAAGGGAAGCCCCTTCCCTTTTATCCCTTCCCCCCAGAGGGGGGGGAGGGGGGGTCCCACCCGGATACCCGGGGGGGGGGAGAGGGTCCCTTCCGGATACGCTTCCTCCCCGGGCGGCTCCCTTCGGGGGAGGGGAGCCGCCGCGACGCGGGGGGAAACCAATCTGAGCAACGTCGTAGCTTACTCTGAGGGAAGCCCCTTCCCTGTTATCCCTTCCCCCTGGGTGGGTGGGAGGGGGGGCGGCTCCCTTCGGGGGAGGGGAGCCGCCGCGAAACTGGGGGAAGCCCATCTGAGCATCGTCGTAGCGCACTCGAAAGGAATCCCTTTCCCGTTTATCCCCTCCCCCGGGGGGGAGGGGGGGGGGTCCCACCCGGATATCCCCTGGGGAAGGGGCCCCCGGCGGCTCCCTTCGGGGGAGGGGAGCGGCCGCGACCCGGGGGGGAAGCCAATCTGCTCCCCTTGGGCGAGGGGAGCGGCCGCGACACGGGG